GCGCTACCATGCCCGGCTGATTTTTTGATTTATTGTAGAGATGAGGGCTCGCCAAGTTGCTCAGGCGGGTCTCGAACCCGCAGGCTCCGGCAATTCACTCATCTCAGCCTCCCAAAGTGCTGGGATTACAGGCTGAGCCACCGAGCCTGGCTAAAAAATTTTTTTAAAAGCCTAAGAAATCCAGAATACTAAACTGGTTGGTTAAAAAGACAGAAGAATTCAATCTAATCATGGGAAAAACAGACAAGTCCCAGCTGAGGGACTGTCTAAAAAACACTTGACCAGGACTCCTCAAAACAGCGGTTCTCACCAATATAAGGGAAGTCTGAGAAACTGTCACAGCCGAGAGCAACCTCGGGAGACACAAAGACTAATCGTCACATGAGATTCTGGATCAGACAAAGGACATTAGGAAAATGAGGAAATCTCAACCAAGCATGAACTCTAATTCATATAATAATGTATCAAAAGATCAGGCATGGTGGCTCAGCCTATAATCCCAGTACTTTGGGAGGCCGAGACAAGAGGATTGCCTGAGCCCAGGAGTTCAAGACCAGCCTGGGCAACTTGGTGAGACCTCATCTCTACAATAAATAGCTGGGTGTGGTGGTGCACGCCTATAGTTCCAGCTACTTGGAAGGCTGAGGTGGAAGGATCACCTGTGCCCAGGAGGTGGAGGCTGCGGTGACCATGAGCGTCCCACTGCACTCCAGCCTGGGCGACAGAGAGTAAGACTCCCAACTCAAAAAAAAAAAAAAAAAAAGTGTTACTATCAGGTCATTAATTGTAACGAAATACTCAGCAGGACCCAAATAAACCCAGCATTTATTTACTTAAAAATTGTGTATTCATTCCAACACTGTTTAAACTTCAGTCTCCCTCAAAGGACTCTCCGTTTGATGTACTACACCTATCAAGATGCTTTCTCCACTGCTCAAAACAGTTTATGAACTTGTCCATTTTTATGCCTTTTAGTGCCATTTTTTGTTTCACCTCTTCCACATCAGCAAAACGTTTCCCTTTGAGGACTTTTTTCATCTGGGGAAACAAGTAAAAAAGTCACTAGGGCAAGCTTGAATGAATAGGGAGGGTGGGGCAAGGAGGTCATGCTGTTTTGGTCAAAAACTGCTGAATGATTACTGGGGCATGGGCAGGTGTGCTCATAAATTACCAATCATGAAGTGGCAAAAGTTCAAAGAATCACCGGGCTCGGTGGCTCAGCCTATAATCCTGTGCTTTGGGAGCCCGCGGGTTCGAGATCCGCCTGGGCAACTTGGCAAGACCTCATCTCTACAATAAATTTAAAAAAACTAGCCGGGCGTGGTAGCGCGCGCCTGTAGTTCCAGCTACTCGGAAGGCTGAGGCGGAAGGATCACCAGAGCCCAGCGGGTTGAGGCTGTGGCGGCCAGGAGCATTCACTCTGTACACTGGCGCGCCATCCACAATGGCCACCACTGCCCAGAGCATCCAGCCCAACAGAAGAAGAATGCCAGCAACACCTGTAACTTCACATTTCCTAACAGCAACATTAAAAATGTAAAGAAGGCAGGGTGTGGTGGCTCACACCTATAATCCCAGCACTTTGGGAGGCTGAGGTGAGAGGACTGCCTTAGCCCACAGGTTCGAGACCAGCCCAGGCAACTTGGTGAGACACCATCTCTACAATAAATCAATATATATATATATATATAAAGAGATGATTTCTACCCCCTAAGTTATTGAAATAAAAATCGATGTAAAGAGAAACTGGTGAAATAACATTTTCTGTAACCCAATATGCCAAAAATACTATAATTTCAACATGCAATCAAAAACCTGCACTGTTTTTAAATATATTCACTTTTTTTTTTTTTTAGAGCTAGGATCTCACTTGTTCCCCAGGCTGGAGTGCAGTGGCATGATCATGGCTCACCATGGCCTCAAACTCCTTGACTCAAGTGACCCTCCTGTCTCAGCCTCTCAAATAGCTGGACCTACAGGCTCAGGTCACCATGCAGGGCTAATTTTAGGATTTTCTGTGATGACAAGGTCTCACTATGTTGCCTTGGCTGATCTTAAACTCCTGGGCTCAAGCAATCCTCTGGCCTCAGTCTCCCAAAGTGTTGGGATTACAGGCATGACCCACGGCACCTAGCAGGTTTTTTAATTTAAATGAACATTAAACAAAACTGAAAATGTGGCGGGGCGCTGTGGCTCACGCCTGTAATCCACTCTGGCAGCAAGACGGGATGATTGCTTGAGTTGGGAAGTTCAGGACCTGTCCGGGCAACACAGTGAGACCCAATCTCTACAAAAAATAAATCAGCCCGCACGGTGCTGCCTGTGAACCCAGCTACTGGCTTAAGCCCAGGAGTTCGAGGCTGCGATGAGCTAGATTGCGCCAGAGAACTCCAACCAAGGAACTCGCAGAACCAGACCCTGCGTCTAGAAGAAAACGAAAGGCTGCCCTTTGCTGTACCGCGGGCCTATTTCAAGCACTCGGCGACCGCGCTGGTGGGCTGGCGTCCGGGATACTGGGCGAGGCCGGGGAAGTACTACGCAAGGCCTCCACCCCAGCCCTGTCCCGGCTGCCTCCAAGGAGGCCCAGCCTTCGTTCTCCAGATCCCGGCTGCCTCCAAGGAGGCCCAGCCTTCGTTCTCCAGACAACGACATCCGACCCTCAGTCGCCAGGCAAAGCTCCGACCCCAGCCACGACCCCTTCGCGGATTCACAGGGGAGGAAACAGGACGAGGCCTCGCCCCGCCCCTGAGCCCAGCGTCGACCCTGACCCTCGACCTCGCCCCCGGCCCTGATCCCGGCTCCCAGCCCCAGGCCCCAGACCCCGA